AATAATTGAATTATGTTTAGAAATTTTATGAAAATAGTAGATATTGAAAATCATTGAATTACGAAAAGTTTTTAAAAATAATTAAATTATGCAAAGAATTCTATTAAAATTTTTGACAATAATTGAATGTATGTGTGGTATTTTAATAAATTTTTTTTAAAAAGCATTAAATTAAATTATTAATCATGAAAAAAATTGAAATTTTACGAACGATTTTATTAGAATTTTTCTAAATAATTGAATTTCCAAGAAGAAACTAATTACTTTTAAAAATAATTGAATTCTTGTGATGAATATTGTTATTTATAAAAATATTAAAAATAATTGATTTTTGCAAAGAATTTTATTAAAATGCCTCAAAATAATTCGATTTTCGGGAATAATTTTGTTATTTTTAATAATTGAATTCTTGAGAAGAATTTTATTAAAATCTTAAAGAATAATTTAATTATTTCAAAAAAAAATTAATTACAATTGTATTTAAAATAATTGATTTCTTTTGAAAAATTTTATTAAAATATTTGAAAATAATTGAATTCCTGTGAAAAATTCCAATATTTTTGTAAATAAGTGAATTCTTCCAAAGAATTTAAAAAAAATAAATTTTTTTTTTAACTAATTGATTTTTTAGAGAAATGGAAATTAAATTTTTAAGAATAATTACATTTTTTGAGCTATTCCTGTAAAATTGTATTATAATAATGAATTAATAATTGAAATCTTGTGATGAATTTTATTAAAAGTTTCTAAAATAATTGAATTCCTGAGAAGAATTTTATTATTTAAGAAAATAATTGAATTATTGCGAAAAATTTTATTAAAATGTTTAACAAAAATTGAATTTCTGTGAAAAATTTTGTTATTTTTGACAATAATTGAATTCTTTCTAAGAATTTTATAAACATTGTTTTAAATAATTTAATTCTTCTGGAAAACTTTATTTGTGAAAATAGTTTAATTTCTCGATTAATTGATTTAAAATAGTATTAAAAATAATTGAAATTCTTCGATGAGTTTTATTATTTATAAAAATAATTGAATTTTTGCTTAGAATTTTATCAAAAAGTTTTTTAAAAAATTGAATTTCCATGAAAAATGTTTTTTGAAATAATTGAATTTTGGATCAATTTTATCAATTTTTTTTAATTGAATTTTTTTCCTAAATTTTATGAAAATACTAGATATTGAAAATAATTGAATTTCGAATATTTTTTGAAAATAATTGAATCTTTTTAAAGAATTTGTTTATCATTTTTGATTTTCAGTATTATCGAATTTAAAGTAGTGGAAATTCTCAAAAAAAAAATAAACAAAAATAGTAGCTTTTAGTGGCTGAAATCTAAAAAAAATACCCAAATAGTAGCATATAACGTAAAAAAAGTAGTAAATATAGTAGGTTTTAGTAGATGAGTGCAAAGCCTGCATTTGTTATTTTTACGAATTAAAATTCTTAAATTTTTTAACATCGAAAAAGATTAGAAACGAAATTATTAAAAAATGTGTGTTAAAAAATTTTTTTAATTAAAATTTTGGAGACTAAAGAAATATAACTTCCTGGGTGCATAAATTCAATTTTGATATATATAGGTATATATGCATAGCATATATTGGATGAAATAATGTGCAGAAATTTATGTGCAAAATTTCATATTAGAAGGAGGAATTTTATTTAGAGCATAGGGAAGATGCTTCATGTGTATGAGTTACGATAATAGGGTGCAATGCTTCGCCTTGTGTAATGGTGTATAGTGTATATATGTACATACATTACAAATTGCTCTGCATGAGTGGATGAAAATAACATTTATAACAAGGCCTGAAAAATTATATGCTAAAGTGCGTACATTAAATCGCTTAACTCCTTTCTAAGTTTATATCCATGAAAAATAAAACGATATATGCTTGTTCATCGATTCTGTTCCGCCCAGAGCTCATTACATACGCTTCCTTTTTTTTAATCCAATTATATGATTAAAAAGCCATTCGTTGAATTTACTTTTTTTCTCTGCTTTTCATAATTATTTGCAGTAAATTGAAAATTTCATAATTATTATTACTTTTATTATTATTTTTATTATTATTATTAAATTATCACTTTAATACGTTATTCGTTAATTTAATTACATCGAGTAATAAAATTAACCAATTAACTCAAAAAAATGTTCTATTATATTTATTTACAAATTTATTTAATTGTAAAATTATTCAAAAACATCAATAACTTATTTTTTAAATAAATATTTAATCATTATTATTTTTCTGTAGGAATTAAAATTTTGCAAAACATTCAAATTCAAACGTTTTTGAAATTCAACAACTTATAATAATTTAAATTACCATAAAATTTTTCAAAAAAAAAGTTAATTATTTACAAAAATCCTAATAAAATCCTTCGCAAGAATTCAATTATTTTTACAAGTAGTGAAATTTCTCAATAAAATTAAATTTAAAAAAAATGTAATAAAATTCGTTGCAATAATTCAATTATTTTCATAAATAATAAATCGATTATTCGATAATTAATTTTTAAATCAATTTTTAGTAGAAAATTCTAGAAGAATTTAATTATTTAAATTAAAAAATAAATAATTTATTGAATAATTGAAATTTTGCGAAGAATTTTATTAAATTTTTTTTTAAATAATTGAATTCCTGTAAAATTTTGCCAAGAATTTTATTTCAATTTTTTAAAAATAATTGAATTTCGATAAAGAATTTTATTATTTATAAAGATAATTGAAATTTTGACAATAATTTTTTTTTAATTTTTGAACATAATTGAATTTCTGTGAAGCATTTTATTATTTATATAAATAATTGAATTATTGAAAAGAACTTTGTTAAATTTTTTTAAATAATTGAATTTCGGTGAAGAATTTTATTATTTATAAAAATAATTGAATTCTTGAAAATAACTTTGTTAAATTTTTTTAAATAATTGAATTCTTTCGACGAATTTTATAAAAAAATTTTTTAAATAATTAATATTTTTCGAAAAATTTTATGAAATTTTGTATTTTAAATAATTGAATTCCAGTGAAAATTGTATTACTTATGAAAATAATTGAATTATTTCGAAGAAATTTATTAAAAATTTTGTTAATAATTGATTTCCTGTAAAATTTTGCCAAGAATTTTATTAAAATTTTTAAAAATAATTGAATTTCGATGAAGAATTTTATTATTTATAAAGATAATTAAAATTTTGACGAGAATTTTAAAAAAATTTGTTAACATAATTGAAATTCTGCGAAGAATTTTTATAACTTTTGAAAATAATTTGAATTTCTGGAATCATTTGTAACTTTTCCAAAATTCAATTTTTTTTTTACTATTTTTAACTAAGATTTTTTAAATTTTAACTGTCATGCTTTGATCAAAATAGAACTAAATTTAATAAAGAAGAAACTTGAATATTGAGCTTGAAAACTTAAATTATATTTTCTCTTTTTGAAAAGAATTGCGACAAAAAATACGGGCAATTCTTCAAATGTGCACTAATAAATAAAATTTATAATATCAAAAGAGATAAATTTTCTTTTGGCGAAAAAATAAGTGAATAAAAATAAATAGAAAAATTTGATTGATGACAAAGAAAATACTATTAAAAATTCCTATCAACTGCATATAAAGAGTAAGAGAGAGAAAGAGTGAAAGCCGTGTTAAAACGAATCAAAAAACTATTTCCGGAAAAAGCAATTGGCCTGATAACTTGTTTGAATGTAATGAAAAAAAAAATTTCAATTGAATGCAATTCAGAACAAAAGTTTCACATATGAATTTTTATATTTTTTACCAAAAAAAAAAAGATTCTTGTTAATTTATAAACAAAAACTAAAAGAAAAAATGAATTTAAAGAAAAAAATTTCAATCATAAATATGATTAAAAACAAAAAGTCTTTTATGTAAATTTTTATCCTTTTTATCAAGGAAAAAATCATATCTTGTTTATTAATAAACAAACCTTGTAGTAAATAGTCAGGAAATTAAAAGCAAATAGCAAAAAAAATTATTATTATTATTATTATTATTATTATAAGAGGAATAAAAAACAATTTCTTTTATTTTTAACAAGAAATAAATTGAGTCTTATAGAGAAAAGCTAAAAATGCGAGTAAGTATATAAATATTATTGGTAAAAGTTTTTTGTGATATTTCTCTGTATATATGTATAAGTTTTTTTTTAAGAGAAGTTTTAACATAACATTATTTTACTTCAAGAACAAAGGAATACCTGGGCTCTAAAGATGGGGAAAACTTGTTGGTTTGCAGTGCGGTAAAGTTGTTCTCAGAGAGTTTGTTTCACGGAATCTTTTAGTATTTGTAAGCAATGCCATTGCACAGGTATACACGTGTACTAAAGAAGCTTACTCATTTTTTTATTTTTTTTTTTTTTTTCAAGAAAAATAAACAACAAAGTATTTAACTACTATACATGTTTATCTTAAAAAGTCTTATAATCACATAAGAGAAGTTTTGAAAAATTTATTTCATCTGCACATTTTTAATTAAACTTTTGTTTAGTGTTGTATTTTGAATAATATAATTAAAAATTAAAAATAATTTTTAAAAAATTGAATAAGGGCAAAATAAATCAAATCGAATAGAATTTAATTTAATTTAATCAAATAAAATAAAATCAAATTCACTTGAATCAAATAAAATTAAATGTAATCAAATTAAATTAAAATAAATGTAATAAAATTGAATTAAATTAAATATTAAAATAAATATTCGATATATATATGGAATAAAAATAATTACTAATATATTTTATTATTATCTATATATTATTATTTCATTATTTTACTATATATTAAATAATTCTAAAATATTCAGGAATAATACTCTTAAAATTGAATCTTTTCGAAAGTATTCGAAATTATTTAAATTCAGATTTTCATAGGAATATTTCATTTCTAATCATAGGGAAGTTTTTTTTTACCAAATAAATTGGTATCCCTGCTGATGAAAAGAAAACAAATGAATCGGTGTGATTTCCTTCTCTCCCTTCTCTCCAATTCTGCTTGTAATCTCTTTGTTCATCTTCATTGTTTCATTAACAGCTAAACGATTCCGGGCATAATTGTCAACGAGTATAAATAATAAACGATTAATAATAATATTTTTTGAGTGAAAAAAGAAACGATAATTCGTGATTAATAAAAAGTTTTGTGCATAAATTATTATTATTATCAATATGGACGATCCTCTGCTTTCGGTTTCAGAGGATTTCCTATTAAGGAATATAATTGGATCATTATATGTAAATGAATCATCACCTGCTTCACCACAGGTTTTGGAATTTTTGGAAGCACGTGAAAAAACAAGTCATTTAGGTGCAAAGAAAAATGAAAAACAATCATTGGAAGAATTCTCTCAAGGTAAGAAAATTCATTATGTTTTTTCATATTAACATAACCTTAAATACTTGAGAAAACCAGAAAACAAACCAGGAGATCGTATATACTTTTGTAACTGAATATTATGATAATAAAATGAATTAAGACTAAATATTAGTTTACTTTCACTAAATGACTTCGTATTATCAAGGTTTAAAGCCCATTATTTACAAATAAAGATATCAAAATGTTTTATTAAAGAAGCACGAATTTGCCAGAGAAATAAATGAAGAAATCAAAATTTTTTAATTTTTGAAACAATTAATTACTGTTAATTTTAAATATATAATAAATTATAAATATGTACCTAATTTGTAAATATTCATCAATATTAATTATTAATTAAACATTTTATTTTTGTAATTATTAAGGGCATTTGAACCATTATGACGTCATAGGTTCTGCAAAGCATGTGTTTTAAGGCTGTGACGTCATCATGGTTCAAATGCCCTTAAAGTATTAATTAAATTAAGTAATAAATGTTAATTTATTTTTATTTATTTATTTATTTATTTATTTTATATATTTATTATTTTGTAATAAAAATAATTATTATTATTAATTATTAATATTATTAAGTTAATAATTAATAACTGTAAAAATTGTGTTTAGTAATTATAGTTTTCATTACATTGAAAACAATTTATGTAAAATTAATAAAATTTCAGAGGTATTTATTGATTCCTATTATAATGTCTTTGAAAGACTATTGTAGTCTTCTGTATTAAAATTGTTTATAGTTTCTGATAACTGAGTTGTACGTTGAGAAAATGCGTGTTTTATTTCTGCTTCGACTTGAATGGATTTCTAAAGTTTAATAATAATAATTGCAACTCAGTATTTTTTTATTATCTCTAACTTTAAATACTTGTGTATAATAATATAATATATTATACAATTTACATATTTTTATTTCTTATTATGTAATTTTCATATATTTATAGCGAAAAAATTATATTTAATCCGTTTTGAAATACCAAAATAATTAATATTTATGATACTAATAATTATTTATTGATAGTAAATAATAATTACACAGAGAAAAGCGAGTGTTGTTTTTGATGCGGGTAAATTTTGGTAGGGTAATTTTAGTGAGGATAAATTTTCTATAATAGAAAATTTACCTTATTTTCGGTGTTAAAATAACACTTCCGAGCTAAAGTTTGATGCAGACACTTTTAACACCGAATTCAGTGTTAAAATAACACTCACTTTTTTCTGTGTACTGCATTAGATTTTTTTTCATTTTTTTATCATCCACTTAATTGGTAAATAATTGTATTGAAAATAAATATTAAATTTATAGTACTAATAATTTTAAATTATTTCTATTTTAGTATTTTTAACACTAATAATAATTATATTGTTAGTGCCAATAGTCATATATTAATAATAGATAATGATTGATAGCACTAATGAATTTATTGATAAAAGAAAATTATATTATAGTACTAATAATTAAATCGATGGTACTACTATTGTTAATAAAAAATTATATTCATAAAATTATTAATAAAAAATAATATATGAATAGTACTAAATATATTGACACTGCTAATTAATAAATTGATAATAAATAATTATCCTTTTAATAGGTACCAACAATATAAAATTCAATTTTTGTTGCAATTAATATTTTCCTGAAGTTTTAAACGTTCAAATGGACAAAATTCTTTTCTGCTTAGTTATCTACTTTTAAAATTACCATCTAAAAAAGAAAAATAATTATATCGTTAAACTAGAAATTATCATCTTTTATTTGAACGTTCAAAACTTTAGGAACATATTGATACTATTGAGGCATTATTCTAAAAATTAAAAATTTTCTCCAAATCTAAAGTTATGTAATAAAAAATATTATGTCCTAATTAGGAAAGCAGGCGCTGAATAGAAATGACAATAAAAAAGCTCTGTCTCTGTTCAACAAGGCACTGGTCTCAGCACCTGGTTCTTCAAAACATATCGCATCATTTTACAAAGAACGTTCAATAGCACTGCAAAAATTGAAAGCATATTCGGAATCATTGCAAGACATTGAGAGGGCTCTAAAATTGACAGAATCTCAAGAAGAAAAAAATGATTTGGAAAAAAGAAAAACAATAATTCACGCATTGAATTTAAAAGATACTCTAAACAGATTGTCCGTCACTCCCAAAGATGTTGATGAACAACAAGAAGAAATAACATACGGTGAGAGTAAAGAATTAGTTGGAGTCTCTAGTGCACTCGCTTTAGAGTACAATGCAAAATTTGGACGACATTATGTTGCAACACAAAACATTAACGTTGGCGATGTTCTAATGATACAAAAACCATATGTACACGTACTATTCCCAGAGTTTCTTTTGGGATATGCTCAAATTGAAAATTCATGTTGTGACAATTGTCTTACTTCAATTTTAAATCCAATTCCCTGTGAAGATTGCGTAGCCGTTATTTATTGTTCGGAGGAATGTAAATTAATTGATTTTAAAAAAATGCACAAAATTGAATGTCAAGTTACTCGAAGATTTCCATCGATGTCACGAGATTTAGCTCTGAGATCACTTATCAAAGCGACCAATAAGGGAAATAATTTAGATGAGATTTACAGCAAAATGAGGAGAATAGGAAAGTGTAAAGGTAATGAAAAAAGGAACATTTGGAATTTATTTATTTAATAATAATTTAATTTATTTTATAATACGTGTCGCAATATTATTGTAGTAAAATTTTTATTTGAAAAAAATTAGAATTTAATTAATTTTATAATTTTAATTTCATAATTTCCGAAAGTTTAAGGACATTGATTTAATAAAGCATTTAGTAAAAAGTTTTGAATTTTAATTCACTACTAGAGTGTAGAATCTATTTTCCTAAAATATTCTAATACTGTTGTTCGATAAATTAAAAACTAATTTTACAATAATTTTGTTTAGACAGAACAAGTGGTTTCAATGACGGCAAATTAGATGGCATGAAACCTGAAGCTTTACTCAGTTTATCAAGCTACACGGATAACTTGAAGGATACACACTTGGTGAATGCTGCTATTGTTGCCGATACTTTAAGAAAAGACACTGACTTCTTAAAAGGACGAGCGACTTATGATAATACAGTTAAAATAGCATATCTGTTTCTGCAATTAAGCTACATTTGCCAAATGAATAATTACGGAGTAAGAGGAATAAACAAATTTATATTAATTTACCAATAAATTTATCAATTCATCCAATAAGCAAAAAATAATTAAATTTTTTTTCAGATACGAAAACATAGTTTCACAAATAGAATTGCATTGGCAATGTACCCAGTATTTAATTATTTAAATAATTCATGCGCCAATAATGCATTGTGGTACGATAATAAGAATAAAAAAATATTGCGAGCTTGCAAAAACATTAAAAAAGGAGAACAGGTATAATTAAAATAATTAAAATTGCAATATTTTTCCCCCTTTTTTGTCATTGTACAAAAAGGAAAATAACTGTTGTTCTTTATTATAATTTCTTTTTATTATTATAAAATAAAAAATCATTTATTATAATATTTAATTATAATTATATTATAATTATAATAAATAAAAAATAATATTTAATTATAATTATAAATGATTTTAAAAAAAATTTTCAACACAGTAAACATTTTATTTTTTCGATTTTTCATTTTATTATACCTATAGAAGTTTTTGAAAATATTGGAAATAAATAAAAATTAAAATAGAAAAGTAGAAGGGAATAAAATAAAAAAAATGAAATACAATGAAACCTGTCGAAATGCAATTCAATTTTTTAAATTTTATTACAGTAAACAATCTTTAAAAAATTCTTTTATTAATTAATTTTGTAATATTTTTACAATACTCTGAAACTAAATGAAAATAATTTTTGTTTGAAATTTTGGAATGTAAAAAATTTTTTAAAATACTGTTGCATTCCGACAGATTAGACTGTAAGAATAAAATAAAAACAACAAAAAATAAAGTAGAATTAAATAGAATAAACTAAAAATTTTCTTTTATTTGTATAGGTTTGTGTAGCTTATTTGACAAATGAAGTGATAGTACGCACAGCCGCTGAGAGAAAACAGTTTTTCAATGAATACAAATTTTTCAATTGTGAATGCGAGGCATGCATAATGAATTATAATTTCAAGTGTGAATTGAAAGGACGTTTAAAAATTTCACCACAATTAAAAAGGAAATTAAGTAACAAGCCAAATGATACAAAAAGTCTTTGGGAACTATTAAAATTAGTTGTGAACGAATATCCTGGACCGTGTTTGGAAGGAAAACGAATAGAATTCGCACTTGTTAATGCTCATTTAGGAGCCAGTAATGAGGTATTTATTTATTATTAATACTTTGATATATTTAATATTTTAATATATTTTTAATATATATTTAATATATAAAAAATATTTAATAGGTTATTTTACTAATATATTCCAATATTTTTTTCAGGAGGTTCCTAACACTTTAAGAATGTTGAAACTTTTGTAAAAAAAGAAGATTCTACAAATCACTGCTAAGAATTGAGGAATTTATTTTTATTACCTTTTTTTAATACCATAAATATTACTAAATGTGGATAATAATTTTAATACATTATAATACATTGTAATAATCTAACTATTAGATATTATTTAAACTATTGCTCTTGATAAATAATCACTATTTAATAATGTAAAAATGTTACATTTGTTTTCTGTCGAGTTTAAACATTAACAATCTATGAAGAAAAAAAAATCATACATAACAATTACTTTCAAGAAACAAGAAAGTTAATTTATATTATTTAATCCAAAAAAGATAGTGTACTTGAAGTGATGTTTAAACGTCAAAAAAAAATTCGTTCAACGAGAAACAATGAAGCTTCAAAAGCATTTACGATTATATTTTGTTTTTACGTTCAGCTCTTCAAACATGAGTACTTTATTGTGTTTTAGTCTTTAAAACATTAACTTAAGCACATCAAAAAATATGTATAAAAATTCAACAAATTTGTTTAATAAATAAAAAAAAATGTAATTTATTGTTTACTCTTTAATCCTCTGGATAAATTAAAAAATTTAGTTAAAAAATAAAAATTATAAATTATTTTTATATATCAAAGCATTTAACTATTGTTTATCTTAAAAAGTCTCATAATCATTAGCAATGTTTGAAAAATTGATTTCATCTGAATATTTATAATTAATTTTTTTTTAGTAATATTTAATCTTAAATATAGTTAAAAAAATTAAATTAATTTTTGAAAATTATATAAAGTTCAAAAAAATGTACGTAATTAAGTCAAATGAAAACAAATCAAATTTTAATTAAATTAGATTGATTTAAAACGAATTAAATTGAATAAAATCAAATTAATTTGATTTTATTTAAATTGAATTAAATTGAATCAAATTAATTAAATTTAAATTAAATAAACTAAAATTAAATTAAAATAAATGTAATAAAATTGAATTTAATTAAATACTAAAATAAATATTCGATATCTATATGGAATAAAAATAATTACTATTTAACTATATTTTATTATTATCTATATATTAATATTTCATTATTTAATTATATTAAATAATTATAAAATATTCAATAACAATACTCTTAAAATTGAATCATTTCGAAATTTAAATTCAGATTTTCATAGAAATATTTCATTTCTAACCATAGGGAAGTTTCGTTTGTTTTCACCAAAGAAATTGGTATTCCTGCTGATGAAAAGAAAACTAATGAATCGGTGATTCCCGTCTATGCCATTCTGCTTGTATTGTAACCTCTTTGTTCATGTTCATTGTTTCATTATCAGCCAAACGATTCTGGGCATATTTGTCAACGTGTATAAATAATAACCGATTAATAATAATATTTTTTGAGTGAAAAAAGAAACGATAATTCGTGATTAATAAAAAGTTTTGTGCATAAATTATTATTATTATCAATATGGACAATCTTCTGCTTTCGTTTTCGGAAGATTTCCTATTGAAGGATATAATTCGATCATTATTTGTAATTGAATCATCACCTGCTTCACCACAGGTATTGGTACTTTTGGAAGCATGTGAAAAAATGAGTAATTTAGGTGCAAAGAAAAATGAAAAACAAGCATTGGAAGAATTTGCTCAAGGTAAGGAAATTTATATTTGTTTTTTCATTATTAACGTAACCTCAAATACTTGAGAAAACCAGAAAATTCCAGAAAACAAACCTCGAGACCGAATAATATACTTTTATAACTGAATATTATGATAATAAAATAAATTGAGACTAAATATTAGTTTACTTTCACTAAATGACATCGCATTATCAAGGTTTAAAGCCCATTTATTTACAAATAAAGATATCAAAATGTTTTATTGAAGAAGCACAAATTTGTCAAGGAAATAAATAAAGAAATCAAAATTTTTTTATTTTCCAAACAATTAATTACTGTTAATTTTAAATATATATATATAATGAATTATAAATATGTAAATTATAAATATTAATCAATATTAATAATTAATTAAACATTTTATTTTTGTAATTATTAAAGTATTAATTAAATTAAGTAATAATAAATGTTAATTTATTTGTTTTTTTATTTGATTTGTTTTTTTTTATTTATTATATTGCAATAAAAATAATTAAGAAGAAACCGTTTTAACAAATAGCAAATATTAATTAATATTCAATTAAATTAAGTTTATTTATTCCATAAACGGGTCCATAAATTCTCATATAATAACAATTCAATTATAATGTAATAATTAATTTATATTCAATTAATATTAATTAAAACTAAATTAATAAAAAATTTACAAATAATAAAAGAGAATAGTTTCTAATGACAAAAATAATTTTAGGCTATAAAATTGTTAAGTCTATAATTAGTTTTATTTATTAATTATTAATACTATTGAGTTAATAATTAATAACAGTAAAAATTGTGTTTAGTAATTATAGTTTTTATTACATTGAAAACAATTTATGTAAAAGTAATAAAATTTCAGAGGTATTTATTCATTCTTATTATAATGTCTTTGAAAGCCTATTGTAGTCTTCTGTATTAAAATTGTTTATAGTTTCTGATAAGAACAACTGAGCTGTACGTTGAGAAAATGCGTGTTTCATTTCTGCTTGTAACGCACGTGTAAAACTTTTGTATTTGTAAACCCTTGAACTACTTATTTTTATGTCAATTTGGTAATTTTAGGAAAACAGCCGAAACTCTGTATTTAAGTAACCTAATTTATATTAAATAAGATAAGGTTTAGAATCAAGGGATTGAGTAACAATTGATGGGTTAAATACCAAGCTCACCCACCATCTAACAGCATTGTACCTAACACTATACCTACGAATAGACTGACTTTTGTTACGACAAAAGTCTGATCTTTAATCAATAAAAAAAAACATAAGTTATTTAAGTTGTTTATTTATTTCACTTCGTGACATAAAAATTTGGCGATCCTGCCAGGATTCTCAATTGAACAATACGTTGTTCTATCCTGGGAATAAAAGAACAAATCAGGAGAATACGTAATCAGGCTGAATTAAGTAGGTTTGACAGTAACTCCTCGAGAATAAACTCGAAAAGGCGTGACATCATCAACTGCCAGGAACATAAGTTGGAACATCCTTGCTGTTACCCGGACTTCTACGGATCATCCAGGAACATCATCCAACTCAAAGGTCTTGCTCATCATTAGCAGTCATACATCTCAAGGATCATCTTTTCAACGTTTACAAAAATCACGTAAATAATATTTTAACATTAAAACGTTAGATTTTTCTATGAATGTATTTATATTACAATAATTATTCTACGGATTTATTATTTGTAAAATTTTGCTATTGATTATTTATTATCGTGACGCGACATTTACACTCGTCATTTAATAAAAAATATAACATTTTATAAAATATATAAACTTTTTCATACACTTATACACTTATACACTTATAAAAATGAGTGAATCAAATACAGGAGAGATAAAAAACACTCTTCAAGCTATTGTAGACAGAATGGAAAGAATAGAGTTAGCAGTTAATCAAAGAAAAGAAGAAATCTCTTCTTTAGCCGCAAATTTTAATTTACTCCGATCTGACGAAGAATCCAATACGACTGAACATGACACAAAACAAACAAAAGATGACACTTTACACAGTACAAACAAAACGGAAGAAATTCATCTCGATTTAATCCCAGCAAGAGACGCAGTAAAATTAATAAAGAAATTCAACGGACAAGACGACATAGGTGTAGAATCATTTATTACATTAATAAAAAAAATTAAAAAACAATGTAGTAATCCAGGAATATTGTTAAATTGGATTATATCCGAAAGAATAGAAGGAGAAGCAGAAAAAGCAATTAGATTTCTAAATATCGAAACTTACGAAGAATTATTCGAAGTTTTAAGAACTAATTTCGGGGCAACAGGTTCCTTAGAAACACATAGAACAAAATTAGCTCAAGTTATCCAAGGATCTGGAGAATCTACCCAAAATTACAACATAAGATTCAATCAAAAGAGAAACGAACTTTTGTATGCTGTACAAGCAAAATACCCAACTAATTTGGAGAGAAAAATATCCATAAACAACGAGGAGCAAACCATTTTAGAAAAATACATTTTAAATTTACGGGAAGACATTTCTGATAAGGTATTATCAAAAAATCCTAAAGATATCAGAGAAGCTCAACAATTAGCTATTCAATCTGAAGTTTGGTTAATAGAAAGAAATAAGATAAGAAACAAACCAATTGCAAGATCACAACCTGCGACAACTACAAACTTTAAAAAAAATTTGATTCCTGTTCCAAAACCAGAATTCCGATCAAAATATCAATCATTTGATAAAAAGGTTCCAAACCATAACATCCCACTACAACAAAGACTTTTAATGCAATGTAGCTTTTGTAAAAAATTAGGACACAACGAAAACCAATGTTATGCTAAACAAAAAAATTTTCCTTCGGGAACTTCCACAAACCGACCACCTCAAAGAGTGAACCACCTGTCTTTAGAAACACCAGAGACGGAGACAGAATCAGACATAGACGAACTAAACACGATAGAGGAAACCGAGTATCAACCATCTCAGGACAACTCGTTTCAATACGAGGAAACCTATCAGGAACAGTACGACCAGCCAGATTATTAGTAGATAGTGGAGCATCAGTTAATTTAATTAAAGAACAATTGATTGATGAAAACTGTAAAAAAGAAAGTAGTATAAAAACATTTAAAATGGGTAAGGACACTCACACAACCACGGAAATAGTAAATTTAACATTTCAAGAAAAAACACATGTATTTCTAATTGTTCCAAACGATTTTCCAATGCCAGAAGATGGAATAATTGGGTTACCGTTTTTACGAAATTACAATTTTAATCTTTGTAACAATAGTCTCACTCTAGATAAGATAACACACACTTTAGAAACTGACACGATTATTTTACCAGAAAATTCTATTCAACTAATTACTATAGAAATACATAAGAAACATGGGGATATAATTATAGAAGATTGCCCCTATGTACCTGATGGAATTTTTCGCATTCGCAATTCTGAAATAAAAGTACCTTTATGTAACCCAACAAACGAACCAATGCAAATTCGTAAAGAAGAAATCAAATACAAACACATAAAGACACTACCAGATAGAAGAGAAGTTATTCATGCATTAACAATAGAAGAGTTTAATAAACGACTTAAGTTATTAAAGGAGAATGTTAGGCTTGATCACATAGAAATGGAAAACAAAGAAGGAATAGAGAAAATAATCACAATGTATCACGACATTTTTGGACTTCCAGGAGATCCTTTACCTTGTACCAACCTTGCTTCACATCGAATAATATTAAAGGACAATATACCTGTAAATGAACGACAATATCGCGCACCAGAAGTACATCGCAATGAAGCAAATACTCAGGTAAATGATATGATAATGAAAAACATAATCTCTCATTCTAACACGCCGTACAATTCACCTTTGTGGATAGTACCAAAAAAGAAAGACGCA